TATATATATATATATTTACGTATATGTTAAATCTGTTTGCTGGGGTGCAGCCTGCGACTACGTGTAATTTTTAAAAATAGTTTCAATGAACTATCGAAACGACTACAAAAAATAACAATTATATAGATGTTGTAGATTAATGTTTCTACACTGAGAAAAATGTTTGATTCGATTAATTGGAATTTTGATTGGAAATAGACGAATTAGAATTTTCTGGTTGAATTCTAAAATTTTAACTGTTATAACCGGAATTTCGATTGGTATTAATCAGAATTTTCTGATTCGTCCATTTTTATCCAAACATTTTTCTCAATGTATTATTTTCTTAATATTCAACTTACTAATTCTTAAATGTTATATCCAACTTAACTAAAGCTCTTTCTCCGCGTAAAGTAAAATCTTTCTTTCAACACACAGGGGAGAACGTAACAAATTAAGATAATTCTTCCCTGTTCTCACAAATTCGGACGAAATTTTATTTCTATCGCAAATATGCATATATAGTTGTCATATATCACATATGAAATTGTAGTTGCGACGCCTCACAACGTCGAGCTCGTTTGATACCGTTAATAAAGTAAACTACATGTGCACCTCCTGACCCTGTGGCGATATAGAGCAGAAAGTTAATCGAGTCAAGTGATTAATGAATATACGTTATAACGTGTGCTGGAGGACGATTAGGTAGACAGACGCATTCGCTGTGTATTCTGCAGTGACAGAAGCAGACATTTTTATATGTACATATTTATCTACCTTTTTTGTTCCAGAAATTAAGTATACTAAATCATTCATTTACACGAATTACACATTTCACCGCCATTAGAATGTTCATACATGAAATACAAACAAAATAGCCAATAGTTATTATTTCTTTTTTTCACAAATTAGCCGAATTTTTCATTTTATTTTGAAAGATTGTTTATAATAATATAATATATCCCTCACGAAAAAATACACCCAACTAAGTGTTGGCGATCCGAAATGATACTTAAATTGAGCGTTAACTCCCACATAAACCTTCAACTTAAGTATTAACACTCAATTTGAATGTTATTTCGGACCACCATGCAAGCAATTCTCAAGTAGAACACAGAAGTCATGAGGACATCATCATGACCTCATTCGGTCATTTATAAGTCAATTTTTAGGTATCAAATGACGTCATGATGACATTCTGTGATATAATTATAATTTAATTATGACTCCGTGTTCTACCTGGATTATAACGGTACGTTATAACGCTTATAAGTTAGGTATATTTTTTAGTAAGGGATCGTATTCTTAAATACAAACTGGAAACCATTATAATCACGTGTTTCGCACTTAATTGACACGTATATTCTTATGATTTAATTAATTATCCGGATGATTATACCCGTTCCCATCGAATGTAACGGTCGAATTCGGGACTCTTCTGGTTTCCCTCTTCTTTCGTCCATCGCGAGCGATATCTTTTTCATTCTTCATCACATCCGTCTCCTGGAGGAACAATTCCGTGTCGCAGCTATCGTCGCTGCAACTGTCGTCGATATCGCTGCACTCCTCGTCACACATTGGCGCTTCTAGATTCTCATGAATCCAGCGCAAACTCATTTTCTCGATTTCCCTTCTGCTGCATAAATTCATATAAATTTACTCATTTTCATATCGTAACATTAAATATGTGGCTATCTAATTTATCAATTTATTTCGCTGCCTGCGCTGACGCGAAACCTGCGTTTGTCGCATTGTCACAAAAAATTGCACCTTAATACGCTATACAGCTATATATATGTAAATCTCTTAAAAGCATACATTTATGAGCTATCAAACCATATTTTTACCTATACTGCAAAGAACAATTCATAAAATTAAAACAACTTCTTAATGCTATAAAATTACATCTTCATGTATTTTGAATTTTAAAAATGACGAGAGCAATAATGTTATATTTGAAAAAGTAGTTCTTTAATTATTTGATTCGATATACGAGTATAATAATATATATAGGGTAACTCCGGTATGTACGCCGCATCTATCAAAAACTTAATTTATTAAGTATTATTTACTATGTTTAAAATAAACGAACTATATCAGTAAAAACTTTGTACTGTCTACTA